TGATAACTTATTAATTTTCTGCATAGTTTCCATGTGCTGGAAGCTTTGTGGACTCGTGAATGTTTTTAATACATCATCACTGCTTTTACTCTTTATAACTTCTGCTTTCCATAGGTATGCCGAAGAACTGGAGATCCAAATAAGTTCATGTTTTGCAAAAGGTGTGATGGTGCTTACCACTGTTACTGCCAGCATCCTCCACACAAGGTGATGCGTTAATTGCTTGTTCTTGGGTATCATATCTAGATTATAATGGCGTTATTAACAGTCATTCTGGATTGGGCAGAATGTCAGCTCTGGACCATACTTATGCCCCAAACATACAAGGTGTCACAGCTGTGGATCTTCTGTCCCAGGAAATGGACTAAGTGTGAGGTACTGGTTATCAACAGTTAGCCTTTGCACATAAACGTGGTCTTTTTTGCACAATTGATGTTTAGATATTCCTTTTTTTTTTTTTTTCCTGTGATTACATGCAAAAATGTGTACATATATTGTGCCTTTATATTGATATTTCTTGCTTTGTTACTAATGGAATTCCTTGATATGTAAGTAATTTGTCATTTTTGGTATCAACCTCCCTTAAGCATACCTTTTCGTACCATACCTATTAAATGCCAACCCATTCTCCAATCCATTATGTTTGCAATTTGATATTGTGATTGTGACACCTTTTTCGAGTATATATGACTATTTGGAAAGTGATTGATATGTGCAGGTGCAACAATGATGAATTTGTTTGATTTATGCACTTCTGATAGATATCTCTGATTTAGACTACTCCATTGATCTTTAGGGTGCAATGTAATTGGAGCCAAAGGAAATAATGGAGCATGATTTTGGTAGTTAGTGGGAAAAGTTTATCTAAATGCAATAGTCACATTTATAATTCTAGTATGATTGTACTTGTCAACAAGGTTTTAGCTTATTTATTTCTTAGTATTAGTAGGTTCATTTATCATTTGGTTTTAAAACATCCAGGTGGTTTCTGGGATACACTTGCTGTGATGCTTGTGGAAGATTATTTGTGAAGGGAAATTATTGTCCTGTTTGCTTGAAGGTATGATCCACTTCGTGTTGTCTTTGGGTTATTACAAACTTTTCATGTAAAAAAAAGTTCTATGTTAATAACCAACTGCTTGTAGGCTGTTGTGATTGATGATTATATATAAATGCTTCACCTTCATTCCAAAAACATGTCCCAGATGGTTTTGTTTTAGTATCTTGATATTTATACTTTTCAACATGAATGAAATTGATTAGATGTCTTCGCTCAACCTTGTAGGTTTATAGAGATTCAGAATCAACTCCAATGGTTTGCTGTGATATATGCCAGCGATGGGTGCACTGTCATTGTGATGGCATCAGGTTTGTCTTTCCCCTCCCAAAATACGAGGCTATTGGCATGTTAGGATGACAGATCTCTGAATCAATGATACTCTTGACAGAAACTTATTCTTTATGAGCTATTTCCTTTCACCATAATTACAATTCCAGTGTGATGAATCTGAAGTAGATTTTGCTCCACAGTTGTTGTGTCTGTTCTAATGTCAATTGCCCTTTTTGGATGTAAATCCTTGTTTGATATCCTTATTCGATCTCTAATATAGCTTTAATTGAGTAGTTATTTATAGGAAGTTGATCATACCTTTCAGAAATGAGATAGCTTATTCGGAAAGAAATGTTTTGCAGTGATGAAAAATATCTTCAGTTTCAAGTAGACGGAAATCTCCAGTACCAATGTGCTACATGTCGTGGGGAATGCTATCAGGTTTGTTAATTGCAGCAATATCTCTCCTCTTTCTGGGGTGTGCACACGTGGCTTGTCTTGCATATATGTGCTGTGCCAAGGTGGTTTGGTTAGAAATTTTCTTACTTTAGAAATGTTTACTGCCAGGTAAAGGATCTCGAAGATGCTGTTGAAGAGCTGTGGAGGCGACGAGATAAGGCTGATCGAGGTTTAATTGCAAGCTTGAGGGCTGCTGCTGGGTTGCCAGCTCAAGAAGACATATTTTCTATCTCTCCTTATTCAGATGACGATGAAAATGGTCCAGCGCCAGTAAGGAATGATTTTGGGGGTGCTATAAAACTCTCTCTTAAAGGGTTAGTTGACAAGTCGCCAAAGAAGAGCAAGGATCATGGAAAGAAACATTTGAATAAAAAATATCCCAAGAAAAAAGGCTCTCATACTGCTTCAATTAGTAAGACAGAACCACATCAGCATGACATTCATTCTTACGTCCTTGATTTGGATGATGACACAGAGTCTCAAGCAAAAGGAGGATCGGATAGATGTTCTTCTCCTGTTGCTGGAATTGTGAGTCACAATGAAGGGATTTGCTCTATCAATCAGCCAGGGGCTTTGAAACACAAGTTTGTTGATGAGGTGATGGTGAGTGACGGAGGAAGGACATCCAAAGTTGTTAAAATTAAGAGCAATAAGCCTCATGATTTAGATAGTGGGGATGATGCTGAAAAACATGCTAGCAAGTTGAAATCTGTCAAGGCAAAGAAATTGGTTATAAATCTAGGTGCACGAAAAATAAATGTTACTAGTTCTCCAAAATCTGATTCTCAAAGCTGTCAAAGTGAGCAAGATTTGAAGGCTTCCAACGGTTAGTGATCCATGTGTCATAAAATTGCTCTTAGTGCAATTATTAGTTTATTATTATTGGCGAAGCTCTCATCTTTGTCATTATTACCATATTTTGGTCCCCGCTAAAATCTGGGATGGCAGTGCAGTGGTTTCTATTCATTAATTTGCTAGAAATGTTTGGTTGATCTTTATAAAATTGATGGTGTTATCATTTTAGCTATTAATCCGCTGATATGATTGATTTCTGGAATTTGCAGGAGATACAGTTGATAACTCTGGGCAAACAAGAGGTTTGATTAAGTTTGCAAGGAGAGAAGGAAATTTGATTAAGTTTGGAAATGTAAAAGCTGAAGCTTCAAACTTAAATCCCAAATCTGATGGAGAGAGTCATGCTGACGGATGTGAAGCCGTTTCACTAGATCATGCACGTGTTTCATCAGCTAAAAGGAGCCTTGAAGGAAGCAGGGCTGCAGGTGAAGTCCCTGCTTTAAGAAGTGACAAGTTATCTTTGGGAAAGCAATCAGAGGTCAGGCCTGAGACACATACGGAAAGCAATGATGATTCTGGCGACACTCCTATTTTGCATTCATTACCAAAGGATTCAAAACTTTCTTTGAAGCTAAAGATTAAGAAACCTAATCTTGAAAACCAGAGTTCTCTGATTCCTCTGCATGAGGAAGAAAAGAGTAACATAAGGGGCCAGAGATCAAAAAGGAAGAGAGCATCAACCTTCATGGAGAAAACGACGTATAACGAAGATGAAGATATGTCACAATCACATCTAGACAGTGAAATGATGGAAGCTAATTGGATATTGAAAAAGTTGGGTAAAGATGCTATTGGAAAGAGAGTTGAAGTTCATCAGCCATCTGACAATTCATGGTGAGTTTTCATTTTTGTACTCCTGGTTTTCTTTTGGGTGACGGATAAAAAAGTTTAGGCCAGGTACACACATCGTATATGCCTAATTGATCCCCTCCATTTTGTTATCCATCTCAGCCTGTTTCAAAGCAAGAAGCAGCTTCTTCATAGCGACATTTGTTATCATTGAAACAAAAATGCTAAGGCTGATGTTGGGGAGGATCAATTTTTAAATTGGTTTTGGAGGATTCTTCAGTGGTCTAACATTCTCCTGCAATTCCTTATCTAAGCCCTATTCATGTGCATGCTTCTATGTTATAAGCTGTTTGTTTGATGTCATATTGAGTTGATTATGAGCATTAGAACTTGGAAACCTTCATGGCCTGCTACTCATTTGAAATTTGGTTGAATTTTGGCCTGATCTAACTTTAATATTGCTGATGTCTTCTTAATCCAGGCACAAGGGAGTTGTCTCTGACATTGTTGATGGCACATCAATGTTATCAATTACTCTAGATGATGGTAGAGTAAAAACCTTGGAACTTGGGAAGCAAGCAGTTCGTTTTGTTCCTCGAAAGCAAAAGAGGTCAAAAACATGAAAAGTGGAACTTGTTTTCAAGTATTGACAATCGCATCTGGACTCCAGATACTCCTTCCATTTTATAGGCGAAGAGGTAGTCTCTATTTCTAAGGACCACAGAGATTTCCGTTGCATATATGGCTGGTGATTTTTCATTGAAGTATTGCTTAATGAGATGCTTCAGCATTTACGTGAAATTCTTTTGTACAACCAGAGATTATTTCGATGGAGGGCTCTCCTTCGAGCCCCCATCCCCTTCTCTTCATGTGCTCAAAAGTAGCTTGCTTCCCAGTGTTTGGAACTCTGTATCTAGCTAGGCTTCTAGAATAACTTGTCTGTATTGTTAATCAGTACATGTGTGTAGGAAGTAGCATTGCCCTTGTTAATTGTAGTTGAGTTACAAGGCTCCAGACCCTTTGCCATTTTTTTTTTTAATTTAATTTGTCGAGGTTTTCTTTGCTTCCCAAAATGAGAGGGAAGTTATAAATGTGTGCCAGTCTCTGTTCTATCTAATACCGATATATGGGTGCATGTGTATTATGAGAACAGGTCCCCAGTTTTCCTAATACTCTCGATCAATGCATCCGCAGTTAATTCGGAAACTGATATTTTTGATAACTCCTTAAACTGTAAATAGGCTGACAGGCGGATCGAGAATGAGGGCTGGATGTATAGAGTGATTTTACAAAGAAATATTTGTTCTCTTTTCACTAAAACAGAAAAATGACGGGGAATTTTTTAGCTGGCATGAGCATCCTTTTTGGTGAATCGCAATTAAAATTGGCAACTACTAGGTTATAAAATAGTTAAAAAACATCATGTCCCAGTGGCCACTCTCGCACCTCAAAGTTCAACTTCAAGCTAGTCAGGAAAACATTCTCGGGCAACTTTCTCCCCTTCCGGATTTGTGCACTAATTAAAACTGTCAATGTTGGAGGTATATTGTTACCAAAACCCTCCTGTTCACTCATGGCATTCCGTCTCAATTTCTTCTCCTTTCCTCTTCATTTCATCTTTCTTCTCCATAGGTAAGAATGCAGCACCTATCTTTATCCAGTGTCTATACTCACATGAATGGGTCACCCAAAAAATATCGGCCTTTCTATTGCATTCATTTTCTGCAGATTGTTGCCCTACAACATTAAGAATAATGAAAACCGTTTATGAGAAAGCAATGTGCAATCATACAGGTGGAGGCGGCAAGTCTAGTAAAAGCCAAAATCCAACACAGTCATCTGAATCTAAGTGGTCTTGGATGGCAAGAAAATGTAATCCTCCACAGGCCTTCTTTGCTGCTTCCCAAGCTTCAGCTTCAGCTGTTGTTACAGGAGTTTTCTTATAGGTAGCATAAACATAACGTGTTGCAATCCCAACAGATAGAATCAAGCAAGCGCGAGAAGTGTCAGCTTCAATTGTGCACACTTCCAGTCCGTTCATCCACGCTGGAACAGCACATGAGAACATTCAAATAGGTGGTTCAGTCTTACAAACATCACAAAGTTCTAAAAGGCATACTAAATTAGATGTACTAAAAGTCAACAAGATAGTAAAACGTAACTTCATGGAGATGGAAGTGGGGAAGTTTGTTAAATAAATAAGCAGTATTCATGGCAATCACATTTGTTTCCAAGGAATAATAAGTGCTAAAAAATTATGGAAACAAATATCAAATAATATCTCCTGTCAATACAGCAATGTCAGTTCCAATTCTTCAAGTTTATAATCAAGTAGGGATGATATTTCCCAGAATTCAGGAACAAGAAAAAGCACGTCATGCTTCTTTCCTAGTATATAAGAACGATAGTGCAAAGCAACGTGATTATCATTCAAGATGCCATCAGCAGCGATGTCAATGAATGCGGCTAGGGCCCAATGAAAGCTAACTGTATCAATTATCAAAGACGTTATGTCCTGAAGGTTGTTTTATCCAATAAACATTTGAAAAGATTGAGATATATAGTCAGTAAGAACAAGTGAACCACAATGAAGCTCCTTTATGATAATTGGTGAATGTGAGTTTTGCGCAATTGTCCACGAAGCCAATGTCCATGCATCTCTGAAAAGTGCGAGAAAGAATTTTCTAGTCTATATATTGGCTGTCTCTGTGATTTGTTAAATTTTAAAACAGTATCCAATACGAGGATCAAATTTCTCAGACCACAGCATAATTAGAATGCACGTGGTACTAGTAAGGCCGGATCCATATCCAGATAAGTAACTAGAATCATTTCAAGATATTGTCTTGGGCTATTGCAAAATGAATGAAATGAACATGAAATAGCATTTCTGAGGCTACAGAAAATGAGATTAGAGGGAGAGTAGACCTGCTAATGGTTGAGCACGTGAAGATGCAACAGCAAGCCCAGGTATCAATGTCTTGTCATCAATCTCAATTCCCAATAAATCCAAATCCAGACTTGCACCGAAAACAAATCTTGTCTCTAATGATGCAACTTCCTCTTGAACAGCTGAGCGCAGGAAAATATATCAGTACAGAACAGAGCTGGTTTTCAAACAAATCAAAACACATATAGTACTTCCAAGTTGGTAGTATGTTAAGAGCTTCAGAAAAACATGACCCTTCTAGCCTATGCTACTTTTTTAAAACTGAACTTCATGTAAAAGGGGTGAAGCCATTGACAGTTTACCATATTAAATAAAACAGCCTGTGCAAGTGTCATTCATATGCAAGATAAATTTAGCTTATGTATTGGATGGAGACCCGAATATAGCATATTCAATATTAAAATAAACAATAACAGCAACAGGTATTTGCTTGTACCTGAGTAAGGTAATTGGACGAATGCCCATTTCTCCCCAAAAAGATTGTCTGGAAGTTCCATTGCAAAAGGGTTATCTAATGCCAAAAGTGGTTTAGCTCCCTTTTGGAAACCAGGATGACGTGTATATACAGTCTCATAGCGCTCTTCGAGCCATAGAAGTAGTGATATACACTGTAAAACAACCGATTACCAAAGGTGAGAGTGTCGAACATAGAAGTTCTAATCCAAAATTTCAAGTCATACTTCAAACTAAATATGAAAGAAGCTAGAGAATCCTCAATGCACTACATAACCCAAGTACAAGAAACTAGTGTGCCATGTTTGTGATTTCGAGGTATCTTAAACCCCCCTAAATTTCCTTTCTCACCAATTAGCTACCAAAAAAATTGCTATATTTTCTCATGTCTAACTTGGTAGGATGCCAATCATGTTTTTCAGAAGGCAACTAAACAAAAGGTAAAAGCATAAATAAACTTATTAATGCTCTTGCCATATAAATTTAACCTTTAATGGTTGTGGCCATTTCCACATTTGATCGAAACCACTTCATTACTCATACTTGTAAAGCAGAATGGAAAACAATACCTACCCGTTTACTTGGAATAGGCTTTATACCTATCTCTTTACATGCTTTGGTGATAATTGTCTGCATCTGTGACCTATTAACCACAAAACCGTTTATTACCAGGCACATACAATCTTTAGTAAAGACAATCAACTATGCAGCTGTGTGTGTGTCTGTGTTAGCAAATATAGCAGATATATATATATGGTACGAATTACCATAAAAGATCACCTGAAGAACCTGATTTTTTCAGGCAAAGGGACTCCAAGATCCTCACTAATGGATACAATAGCATCCTTCAAAGTGATACTATTGATAACATTGTTAGGGAAGTATTTTGTGAATTGAAGTGACAAAGAATCATCACATACAACAAGCTCCCACACTTTCTTGCCTCTAACATCAAGTATAGGCCTAGAACAAAAATCCAACTCCCACTCTACAATGCTCTCTGGATCAGTTTCTGGGTCAAGATAGCTCATTTCTGCAGTTGGGTCATCTTCTTCGTAGTCATCTTCTTCAGTCTCCACTTCTTCTTCTTGTGTTGAAACCGAGAGTTTGGTTTTTATGATGTTTGATTGGAAATGGAGTGGTTTTACGTGGCTTTTTGAGGATTTTAGAGAGAAAGGGAACAATACTTTTGAGGGTTTTGCAAAAGAAGTGATTTTGGAGATGTGTTTGTGAGGAATTCTGGTTGGATGGAAGCTAAGAGTAGCCATGGAAGCTCTGTGACGAAAGAGTCGATAAGTACGGTAGTTTGGCAGTTATATATCCACCACTCCTGTCCGTTGGTTTTCATGGGCTGGGCTTGGATAAGATTGCTGATCCACGATAGTTGTCGTAGGTCCATGCCCTACAATTGAAGGTGAAAACAAAATACTCCATATAAATAAAATTTGAGAGGTATATATACCAGTTTTTTTAACATGATAAATCATAAAATGTCAAGTAAATGTTATTTTTCAATAGACTATAAAAAGAAGAAGATAATTTTATATTATGTATCAAGATAAAATATTTGTTCCTATCTTAAAATTTAAGTTACGACAATGAATTAAAGAAAGGTTTTTTTTTTTTTTAACTTTTAAATTGAAATCTGATGATGATTAAATTAGAAGAAGATTATAAAATATCAAATTAAATTTTAGAAATTAAACATTATTTTTTATTATCTAAATTACTAATTGTTTGAATTTTTTGTTGCTGTTTAAAACGATGATAAATTATCTATTTTTTATCGCTAAATTGTTTTAAGTTAGAACATGATATTGAGAAATAAAATTTTACAATCTTTGTCCTTGATACAGAATTCTAAATAAGAGACGTTAACTTGAAAAAATTTACTCCATGAACTTAGTCTTCGTAGGTGAAAAATGATATGGAGAATACTACCTTACGGATTACCATCCTAACGTTAAAAAAAGAAGGGGAAAAAAAATCCGAATGTTATTACCACGAAAAAAGTGCGAAAATGTCACCGACCGGGAAGCCCAGCCCAAAACCATTTAGTGCATTTTTGTACTCTATTTTCGGAGATAAACAGATAATTCCATGCTACTTGCATATTAAAAACACGGTCTCTCGCCCTATCAAGCACAGAGGTCTCTCTGCCGCGAGAAAGCGAAGAAGGCCGCGGGAGCCACTTTTACAGTTTCGGCAGTCGATATCTTCCTCTAATGTAAACCCTAATCTTTCTGTTACTTTCCCATAATTATATAGTAATATGTTTATTTATGCAACTATTTACGTGCAAGTCAAGTGTATTTATTTCAACGTTTTGCACTTTTCCCGTTTGATTAAATGCCTGTTTGAGAGCACTTTCTCTTCCTTTATCAACAATTTCTTACCACCCAAAACAGTTCATTTTAATGCATTCACTATAACACTTAGCTCCAACAGGAATTTAGTCTAATGATACAAATCCCGAGCACGAGAGGTCTGGTCTCAAGAGTTCTTTCAAGTGATGTCTTTCCTATCTAGCACCTAAAGAACCAAAATTTTGAATGGGAAGGAAATGGAAAAATATATATCATTTAGGCTTGAATGAAGTGGATGGTTCAAGAATGGGATAAGTTTAATTTGTCCAGAGTAAAATTTGTAGTAGAGCATATCAGCTTGTTTGCTGTGTATGATCTAATACATATGATAATGTAGTTTCTATTTAATATGGATATAGGTACCTAAAAGGAGCAAGCTTTCTCTGATTAAAGAGAGAAAGAGATGGTGAAGTTTTATGGGTATTCTTTGATTTCTTCATTTACTCCTTTTCATTCTATTATTCTCAAAAAACAGCGCAGATTGTCAGCATTTGATTTATTTTTCAACAATTCAACCAAGTCAAGAAGAATCCTTTCTGTTTGTGCTACTAAATATCAATTACATAATATAAACACTCACACCGAGATGGGTGCAGAGCAATATCGCCCTCCGTTGTTTAGGTGCGTTTCCTGGTGTTTCTCTCCTTCTTGTTTGTTTATCTTATTGAGTTGATAGAATGAAATTTTCTTTTTAAGTTTTTTCGGTTGGTTATATTTGCAGTGTTGCTCCTATGATGGAGTGGACTGATAGTCATTATAGGACTGTTGCACGGATCATTTCGAAGCATGCATGGCTGTATACCGAGATGCTTGCTGCCGAAACAATTGTTTATCAACAAGGAAATTTGGTATGTAAGCGAAAGATCAAGGATAAAAATTATTATTATTATTATTATTATTTTATTGGTTTGTGCTAGGGTGCCAGTGTGCAGACAGTTTCTGAATCCATGTGGAATTGTAGACTAACTAACGTTTTTCAAGAACTTGAGATTGGGAGTTTCTGATGACTATTGAGGTTGAGAAGCAGAAATGTTTTAATGTAATGTTGTTAATACTTTAGATCTTTCATTATGTTAGTAATCGCATAGCTGGTTCCAACTATGTCATATAAAATGCACACATGTGTGCATGTCTATGATAAGTACGTGCTGAGACCAAACAATTGATATAATTTAATAATGGGTTATACTTTTTTTTACTACCTTCTCCTAAGCATGCAGTTTGGATTGTTTCAGCTTATCTCTACCATCTATGGAAAATAGTCTCCTCCTTGGTATCTTGTAAAGGAAAACGCCTACCTTTTGTCTCACTTATTCTCCCGTTTCTTTTATCACTGTCATGAGTGTTTTTGGCTTTTTCCTCCATTTGGTGAGATTTTGGCTTATTGATTAGTTCCTCCTTGAAAACTACTAATTCTGTATTTCTTGTTTATATTGCTCAGGACAGATTTTTGGCATTTTCTCCTGAACAGCATCCCATTGTGCTGCAAATTGGTGGTAATAATTTAGACAACATTGCAAAAGCAACTGAACTTGCTAATGCCTATGGCTATGATGAAATTAACTTGAAGTTAGTAGAATTCTTTCCTGTTTTTTATGTTTCTTTTTATTCTTCTTTTCTCTCTCTCTCTCTCTCTCTCCCCTCTTTTTTTTTTTTCTTTTTTCTTTTGGATAAACTGAGACAACTTTTTTCTCTCCAAAACCAGTTGTGGCTGTCCTAGTGCCAAGGTAGCTGGACATGGGTGCTTTGGTGTCCGTCTTATGCTTGATCCAAAGGTTTGATAACTATGCCAATTAAATTGATGATTCCTGGACTAGATTATATATATATATATATTTTTCATATTCAATATGTTCTCATAAACTGTTTGGTATTTGCAAGGAAAGTTTGTTGGTGAAGCTATGTCAGTAATTGCTGCCAATACAGATGTACCTGTCAGTGTTAAGTGCCGAATTGGTGTAGACGATCGGGATTCTTATAATGAGCTCTGTAAGGACCCTTTATCTACATTTTATGTCTGTTTGAGGGCAAACAATTAGACTATTATGTAACTTAAGCCCTGGTTCCTACAAAAGATTTAACCTTTGAGCAACTAGATAATCCAGCCCAAAACGCTGAATAAACATTCTCTATTGTTCCTCTGGATATTTTATTGCATGGCCTATTGCTTCCTCAAAAGGTTTCAAAATTATTATATCTATGCTTTTATGCTCTTTGTGCATTTCATCATGAAGGTAATTACTGGCCACTGGTTAGAACCTCGGTGTTGTATCAGGGGCCTGTCACATCAGTCATTTGATTGGTTTTACTATAAATTCCAGACCTTGCTAATGATTAGCCACTGCAGTCCTGTGTTCATGCCTTTTATAAAGAAGATATCTCACTCTGTCTATTTATAAGTTTCCAAAAAATAAAAATAAAATAAAGTCACTGAATGAGGAATTAAAATTTCCTCTAGATGATATGACCCCACTGAAAAAAAAATTATGGCTATGCCATTGTGTCAAGAGGATGTATTTAGAAAAAGTTTGCTAATTCTACCAATAACGGCGTCCTTGATTAGCATTTAATTTTGAACACAGCAACATCCTTGCTTAACTTGTATATTAAAGTTTAGCTTCACAGATGGCCATGCTGATTTCAATTTTGTGCCCACACGTACCACTTTGTAGCTAATGTTATGCTGATTCTGATTTGCACATTAGATTGGTGGACTTCCGGAGGGATTTTCTGTACTCATTATCAAGTGCTAATTACTTCTCTGACATTTGTGCTAAGATTCCTGGGATTTTACCTTGACCATAATGTTTATTTCTCCTTTCAGGTGATTTTATCTATAAAGTTTCTTCTCTATCTCCAACTAAGCATTTTATTATACATTCACGAAAGGCTCTGCTTAATGGCATTAGCCCAGCAGACAATCGAAGGATTCCTCCCCTGAAGTATGTATGAGCTTAAAAATTTTAGTTTGTGATTGAACTTTAACTTAATTCACTGGAAGTTAAAGAATAAATATATTTATTTAGTAAGCTCAATACTAGGGCTGCTATTCCACAATTGAGTTTCTTTAATTATTAAGCATCCTTAGATCAGATAATAATATGCTTCATTTTGTGTTATGATTGTCATACTGGTGCAGATATGAGTACTATTACGCCCTCTTACGTGATTTTCCTGACTTAAGATTTACAATAAATGGAGGCATAGATTGTGTTGATGAGGTGAGGTCTTGTTTTCTCCTTGTATAATTTAGCTTCTGTTTGCCTACTTATTCTTGCTTTTGAAATGCTTTTAAAGGTTTATTTCATTATGATTATTCTTCTATTGCCTATGATCCCTCATGATATGGCAAAGTTTTTTTCCTGATTTCGGACATCTCAAATAATAGGTGAATGCGGCATTAAGGGAAGGAGCACATGGTGTAATGGTTGGGCGTGCTGCCTACAATAAGTATGTACAATGAGTTTTTTATGCACTTGTAGTTAGTTTTATCCAAGGGGAGGGGAGATAGGTGACATGGTTGAGGCAAACTTAAAAGCTTTCAATAGACATGATCAATCAAATCTTTGTATCAGCAGGGAGTTGTGACCAGTGAAATAAATTCTGAACATCAGAGGAACTGCATATTGTAAAGGAGGAAATAGAGACTTTAAATGCCTTTTTTTTTTTTTTTTTTGTCTGTCTTGAGGTATTATAGTAATGATACTTGGGAAGAAGTAAAATAATATATATGTAGAGAGAAAATTATTCCTTTGCAGAAACAAGCTGAAGAGGGATATTGTATTGATAAAAGCCCTGTTGCATCATTCATACTTGCAGGACATAGTTTTGACAGACCATAGGCCTGTTTTCTAATGCGACGGTAAAAGACTAGGGTGTCAAACCGTGGTTTGTGTTTTTGAGTCCACGCAGCAGTTGCTTCATGCAAGTGTTCAGCAGTAGAATTGTCTCCAGAATTCTTTGTTAAGACATTTATTTGGTGTGGGAACACAAGTCCCTTTTGGTTCCCTTGGACAAACATTAACCAAAACTAGTAACCTCAACTGCTACATAATGGGTCAATTTTCAGCTATTATGAGAACAACTTTTACTTCACTCTTTACGTTTCCATTTATATGCAACCCTCTCTCTATTATATTGTTCTTCCCTTATGATTAATCTAAAGAAAGCTTTATATTTTGTCAGTCTCTGGAAGACTCTGGCACATGTTGATACAGCAATATATGGTACACCAAACAGTGGTCTTACACGTCGTCAGGTTTGAGAGCAAACATGACCTTCCACAGGAACGCATTTTCTGATTTTATTTATTTATTTATTTATTTTATGTCCCATTAACTTCATTTCATGGCTTTATTGTTTTTTTAGGTCCTTGAACAATATCAAGTATATGGGGATGCTGTTATGGGAACATATGGGAACAATAGACCTAATATGCGAGAATTGATAAAGGTACATTAGCTTGTTTAACCAATACATTAGATTTTTTAACCAATTATTTTTAGGCAATCATTGTTCTGACAATAACTGAATATCTTCTTTGAAAAATTAAGCTACATCTCGATAAGTTCTCGTTGCTTTTTGTTAGGGATGGTTAGGTAGATGTCTATGGTACCGAACAATATCTCTATTTTATTTATTTTTCCATGTCTACTTGATAAAGTGTATAGACATGGGTGCGCTGCTTTTTGAATTCATCTGCATGGCTATGAGAAATTTAGATTTAGTTTTGATTGTGCTGAGTTGTAAGAAAAGGATAAGCATACAAGTTATTGGTATAGGAATCTTTTTTTTTTTTCTAATCACATATAATGTGTTGAAGTTTTAGGCCTGTTGTTCTGTTTGGATTTAAGAATGGAAACTGCTCTACATCATTCTGTTATCAAATTTGCATACACACACATATGTATATAAATTTTACTATAGTATATTTGATAAGTGTTAATATGCTGCAGCCTTTATTTGGTCTTTTCTATTGTGAGCCTGGAAACAATTTGTGGAAGCGCAGAGCTGATGCTGCTTTCCAGATGAAAAATATCACGGTATGCCAATCACGATAACCTACTTAGTTTTGGTGTGTTCTAATGGTTGTTAAAGTCTAATTTGCAATGTAGATCATGTTTAGGAATCGGGGCCAGCTTGGACAGTGTTTAACCTACTGTTTGGTTTGCGAGGGTTGTGGGTGTTTGTAGGACAATATCTGGATTTGAGAACTTTCCTGCATATAACCAGTTAAAGATAATGCAGAATTTTAGGAAAGCATTGATTGATTCTTTATTTTTAATTTTTCTTCTTTTTTTTTTTCCACTCTAATCAAGTAACCATCACACACTTTCGTCTGTGTCTTTTTTGTTGAACTTGAGACTATTATGGGCCAATTGTTACCTAAAGTTCTTCAAACTACTCTGAATACTGCAGACCGTCAAATCCTTTTTTGAGGAAACCCTAGTAGCAATTCCGGATGCTGTCTTGGATGCACCTGTTGCGGAGCTACCATCTGGTCGTAAAGATCTTTTTGCTGATTTACAGGGATTGCTTCCACCGCCATATGAAACCAGAGAAGAGGAGGTGGTAGCATATGCTTAGTCTTTAACATGTATACTTAATTTATACCTCACTATACCCCATCTGAAGCGTACAAACCAATTGCAATTTTTTGGATGACCTGATTGATCGGTCGGTGTATCGTATGTATAAATATTGTATGGGATGATCGGAAGACTTATGATTGTCCGTCAGCAGAGGTACAAACACTTTGGATGTATGTGCTTCACCTTCTGATTAGGATTTTACATTAGGATAACCCAAATTGCAAAAAGGTGAAATTATAAATGTATGGCAATGAATCTGATATTTTACACTGACAAATTCTACCCGTCAAAGCTCTTTGATTTTGGAATATAAACATTTTTGTAAGGTTTTTGTTCTGTGTTCATATTGTCGGTGCACCTCAATCCGATCTATAATTCTAAATTGTTTCAACTTTTCAAAAATTTATGGACTGGAGAAATCTGGCTTTCGTATACGAACTCTGTTGCCTAATTTCCCTGAACCACTGGTTATTGTCTATATAGCTACCAGATGATTTAAGACCACAAGCTTCTTCTCCATGATAGGTGGCATCCATCTACTCGATCAAAATATATTAAGACAAGACATAGGATTGCCTTTTGTTGTGTCTTGTCCTTTCACTTGTATTCCTTAACTTCAATTAACCTGGGCCATATAAAAAACAGAATAAATTATCCTCAAATATAGCAATACCGATAACCCGCATTGCAAATGGTCTCAATCACCATGGCCGCCTCATTTGTCAGCAGCACTGTCCTCAGTGGCCAGTCTCCGGTCACTGCCAGCCGTAGCAAGTGCTGCCAGAGGAACTGAAGTGGAAAATGTGAAGTTGAATCGTGACATGAAAAAAGAGGGCAGCAATGGGAGAAGGGATTTGACGTATGCTGCTGCTGTCTGCTCAGTTGCTGGGATTGCAGTAGCCGAGGAGCTTGGGAACCCAGAAGCCAAGAAGTTGTACGCACCTTGTTGTATAACCATGCCAACTACTAATATCTGTCGCAACTGAGGGTATTGGGGCCTGTTGCAAGTTTTATTTTCCTTCTTTCTTTTTCGGAGGTAGCCATTTCCAAGTGCCTGTGATCTTTTTCTAGCAATGAATGTTTCATCCTTCGGAGAATTAGATACTGGGCTTTTTGTACCTATATGCTTCATTACCACACGTCAATCAATTCCAAGCATCATGAACTTGATTGTCATATTTACTTTGGCAATGAAGATATCGGGATCATTTGACCCTACTAATCTTCTGAGTACATGCCACCTCCCTTGCTCACACAATCACGCGTACTAGATGAATCTCTCAAATGCGACTACTAGTACTAGACCAATTTCAGGAGTACATATGAACTTGTCATGTTCAGTATAACTGCAAAGCCCATATCATAATGGTGGAGTTTAATTGACTGAAAAGGCTCATGACTGCTATAAAAATCATTTAGTGCGAAACTACCATGTAAAATTGTAAATGATTGCACTAAAATTGAGTTTAACAAACTTTGTTTGCCTAGATAAGACGACAATCATAATTTGCATAACAATTCGCACATCAATGTACTCTATAAATGCGCTCAATTCGGACTTTCCAATTCCTGGCCAGCGTAGTGCTTGGCGATGCTTTGAAACACTAAACGTTTTGGGCTATGTATCATATATCCCATCTGCGTTTCTGAAGCAAAAGCCTTTGCTTCCGAAGCCCTTTGAACCCAAAAGATTTGCTACACATGCATCATCTATTCTCCGATTTTATTTTATTTTTTATTAAAATCGTTTACTCTTTTTCAGCTTATTATTATTTTTTCGGTTAGATTGAGACTTTTTATTCTTCAATTAATTTTACTTGGGACTCTTTGTTGTAAAGCCATTTATTTTTAATCCGACATAACATGTTATTGTTAAATAGGGATGGCAATCCAACCCACCCCAAAGCAACTTCGTCCCGCCCCACCTCGTTTGGAACGGGGATGAGGCGTGAAATTTCTCTCCGAACAAGATACGGGGTGGGAATGAGTTTTTTTTTTTTGGGTGGGGAGTGGGGATGGGGATGGCGATCTCCGCCCCGCCCCATTGCCATCCCTATTTTTAAACTTCATTTATAAATGATTGACATGTGGCATTATAAGTCTCGGAACATAATAAACTCTTCTATACTAAAAAAATAAATTAATAACTTTTAAATAATAAAATAATACAAAAAAAAAAAAAACAAAGCTTAAAAGACCAAGTACTTCCATAGTCTTAATTATTTCCAACCCAATTCATCGACTATTTTCTCTATCTTTCTCCTTTCTCTCGTCTCTCTTTCGTAAATACCTCCAAATCTCTCAAACAAACCCTAATTTTTAACACCCTTCATAATTTTTACCCTCTTCTTTGATTTTAGGAAGGCATTATTGGTATATGTAATTGACATTGTTGTTAGAAGGAGTTGAAATCAAAGTCGTTTGGATTAAAATTGGGTAACCAAACCCGTTTGTTTTCTATATTTTTTTAACTTTCTACTTTCCATGGATTTTGTTAATCTTTTTGGATTTTTTATGAGTTTAGTATTTACTTATAGTTTATTTTATGTTTTATATAAAATTATTTTCTTTGACGGGATATGTTTTTTTAAGTTTATCATATATCTCATTTGTTAATTATTGCTTTTTTCTTTGGCCTTTATGTCTCTTTAATGGGGTTAGCGAGTTGTAATGTGAATTTTAAAGCTTCACGTTAGGGTAGAATTACAAAGAGGGGTTAGTTTGTCTTTTAGTGAAAGAAAGGTTATTGAGAGAAAGAATATCAACTTTCACTAAGTAAAATTTAAAAGATTATTAGAAATGGTTTAGGAACATGGGTATGAAAAATATAAGGTTGTGTTTTATAAGACACTTGACCTTAAATTAAGTTTTTAACGAGTCTTAAGAAAGTTAAAGATGATATGAGTACCTCTAATAAATATTTTGAGTGAAGAAATAATTGTTGACATGTATAATGAGTAAAGTGAGTCAATTACGCCTATTCCTTGGTTGATAATCAAAAAATTATATGTAGCATGTTTGCAATCAATAAACATGGGGAATGGCTTGATAAGTCTAGTTCTAAACATGAAGTTGAAGTTATAAATGTTGATAGTGTTGTTCATAGCTGTGTTGTGGGTAGTACTTTTCGTTTCGATGAGTATTCTATGTAAAGGATATGGTTAAAGGTAATAAAGTTCATGTAGGTGAGCATGGTGTTATCAATAATTATGAGAATAATCGTGTTCACTCGTGTGATTCTGAACATGATTAATGTGCGGGAATAAGTAAGGGCAGTGATAATATCCATAAAAAGAGTTACATATAAATGAATATTGAAGTTAGATTAATTTTGAAATTATATTTATAGATTAAATTCATCAATACAACGTTATGATGCTTTTTTTTTTTTTATGAAAAATGTAATGCTCTAATCAAACGAAATACTTTTTTATTTTTTTATAAAATATTTTATTTGTTATTTTAAATTTATTTAGTGAGAAGAAAAGAATTCAAGGATAAATAAAAATGTCCAATGATAAATAAATATATATATATAAAATTACAATCTAAAAAAAAAACATAAATGAAGGTTACAATGGTCAAAGAAAGAAAAGTAATGCAGCATCTAACATATACTCTTTAAAGATATCTTTTTGACTTTTTATACAATTTTAAAAAATTATTAGTTGTTATATCATATTAGTCTTTTATTTTCATATCTTTTTAATATTTTTTTTGTTAAAATTGTTAGTTATCAAATTTAATCATCGATTACATAGAACCAATATCAATCTAATGAGAAAATCTATCCAAAATTAAGGTGATAAATAAAAAAATATCATCAATTAACAATTAAGTTTAAAAAAATTATGAAAAAAGATGAAAATATTAAAATTTCAGCACGCAGTATAGTTTTTATAGAAATGATTATTTTTGTGTAATAAGAAAAAATTCTTTGAAATTTTATGTTAAAAGTATTTGTATTTATACTGAGAAACTATAAAGAATATTGATTTTTTTGTTAATGAAGATTAATGATTTTCTTTACTGGTTAAAAGTATTTTAGGATAATTTTAAGCTTGTGTATTTACTTTAAAGAAAGCCAATGCATTTTATTAAAATTACTACTATACCACAAACCTTTTATTACAAGTTATAAGTTTGAGGGATAAATTATTAAAAACATTATATATTTAGGTGGCGGAAACACTCTCCACCCATATTTTTCAAAAATTATACTATACATTCGAAAGTTTTAATATTTGTATCATAAAACAACTTTTATTATAATTCTGTAAATAGTGTCAAAATTGCAGGTTAAAAATAACATCTAAATTTTTATAAATTCGTCATTTTTTAAAAATGACCATAATGTCTTTCAGAATCATTTCACCAAACACAATGTATTTTAATTTCGTATTCAGCTGCAATATTATATGATAATAAATAAATATTTGTTTCATCAAGACAAACAAAAAGAATTCAAATAACTCAACCACTAAACAATGGAAGAGAAAACATAGTTGGTCAAATGAAGAACATTGAACCTATCTATTCTTCACGCTTCTTAGGCATAAAAATTAGCATGGTGAGGATCCAAATGCCAGATGAACCCAGAACGTCACTTAAAGAGTTAATCAATGAAATCTCAAAATATAAAGAGTACTATACCCATCTAAGCTCCTAAATTGAACTCTCTGTTTGGTTCTCAGATGCACTATATGTCTTTCATATGAAAAGAAGTGCACCATCTATTTAGTGCCAGAAACGGGACAAAGGGCTTAAAATTTTCACCCACCAATGTTGCCTATCAAGACCAAAGACAATTACCATGTGGAAAGCTTTTCTTTCTTTGAAAAACTGTACCAACCAATTTCAGCTATCATCTTTTCTTCATGCATTTGATAGTTCCAGCTTTCCTTTGTCCTGAAAGTGACCGGCATGGAAATTTCAGCTAAAATCAATGAACATTGGACAGATAACAAAAAACATAAACCCTCCCCCCCCCCCCCCCCCAAGAAAAAAAAAAAAAAACTCTTAAAAACGAAGAATGTGTTTTTGTTTGCCTGACCAAATTCTGCTATGATACCAAGCACACTTTTTGTTTTGTATTAAACTAACTGCTTCCAATGTCAAAAGCTCAGGATCACCTAGTCCCATCCCCACCAAGACTACATTTCCTGCCTACACTTTTTTCCATCACCATCATTACGACAATACCTCTCTCTTCTTAAAGCACATGAAGCAATTTCTTCAACTCCGGAAGCTTTAAAGCTATGTGATAAGGCCTGATACAATCCAATGGCAGAGAGCTTGATTTGCTTTAAATCTCCAAAAAGGCAAAATCCATCTAATAAACTCGCATTTTATAGGAAAAAAACTACCATATTTGACAATTTCAGAGATTATGAACATTTGTGTAGTGGGTGACATTATTTTCAGGTAACTATTTCTAGAGAATCAGTCTTTTCCTCAAACATTTTGTATCGATATATGCTAAACCCATTCCTTTGGTGATGCAAATACATTCCTCAATATGAAAAATATTAAAAAGGTGAACCTTACTACACCTTCTGAAGAATGAAAGATGCTTCCAATTCATAATTATCATCATACTTACCAAGTGTTGCTGGGGTGTATTCCCTTGCTCAACTTTGCATCAACTTCAATGCAAGGGAGTGGAGGGTTGACAAGCTAAAGTTGAATAATGGCTAGCTGCTACAAAGAGCAGGATTCATTCCCCCTCTCCAAGAATGCCCTGCTAAAAGCAACACTATCTGCAATGCCGAGACCACAGTGGTTAATGGAATCCCCAGCTCTACTCCAATCCCCAAAGCAGAGTGATGCCTGAGCAGAGAAATTGCATTGTTGAACATATATTTAGAACACAAAAGTTGTATGTAACCAAAAGCTAAACAAATTAAAGCATAAAACCAATCAATTTCCCCTACAAAAACAACATAAAAAATTTAGAGATTTTTTTGGCAAATTAACAACTTAAAAAACTTTAAAAATCTCAATTTTTTTAGTAGGTTTTGCTTGAAACAACCAATTAAAAAACAAATAAGTAGTTTCAAACAAAAAATTAAACATTAAAAAAAATAGGGGTTTTTTTTTTTTTGGAATTTTCAAATACAACTAACTAAACCTTCAAAATAATCAAAATCTTTATGGCTTTTTCTCGAGATTAGATAAATATAATTTTAATCCTAACATTTTATGGATTAAATACATTTGTGTTTCAAAAATTAAAAAATTAAGATGACATTATAAAATGTCTTGTTTCAACTTCGAATTGTTCTCGATTCATCTTCAATTCAATCTTTAACAACCACACAAACGTTTAATAAAAAAGAACACACAAAAAATCCGTTTATTATCAAACGATTTACTTGCTAAATTTATGAGTTTTTTTAGGTTTCTTTCTTCAAAAGAGAGAAGATGGACAAATGAATAGGGTTGATATATATATATATATATATACTTCATTTGCTTGAAATCGTGAAAAAATTAAGATGTAAAATATAATTTTTAAAAAGTAAAGATGTAAAGTGTTCATGTCATTTGATTATATGATGTTTTTTTTGTAATTTAGCCAAGGTTAGAGCTTTGAAACGGTAGGACACGGTCAAAATGAAGAGGGTAAGAAATGAAGGAAATGGAAAAGGTAGCAAGCGCTCCTCCTCGAACAAATCGTATTAAAAAAAAAAAAATCATTATAATAGCTACTAATAAATATCAACGTCCGTCCATCGCATAATTGGGATCCACGTGAAGCAGTCGACGTAATCATCTCGCTTTCCCAAAATTTCAATTAATCCTTTTTTTAACCAGTGAAAACCAGTATGATTGAAGAGTATTAATTATAAATTATTCTCTCATTTTTTAAAAATAAATAAATTAATCTTTTTTATTTTAAAAATAATATTTTAATATTTTAATCAGCGTTTATTTTATTTTTAAAAATTCATATTTTTTCATTAGTCTTCCATATTTTTTATTTATGATCATTTTCTATTTCTTAAAACAAAAAAAATCAAATAAATTTAAAACATAAACTAAATAGAAATAATTAATAAAAAAATCTTCTAAAAAATATTCTATCTATAAAACCTATCAATTTATTTTTAAATCTCCCAAACCAAAAACAATATTTTTCTTACCAAAACACCTAATAATTAATATTAGTGTTGAAAAATATTGCTTTGTGTTTGGGAGATTTAAAAAGTATTTTGGTAAAAAAATATTTTTTTAGAGAGTTTTTTAGTAATTATCTCTAGTATAAATGAAACCATCATCTTTCAAAATATGTAATTCTAATGTGAATGAATATGTTCTATTTAATTAATGCATCAAAATATGCTATATATGTATTTTGTAATTTAATTTAATTGCTTGATAAAAAAATATTGAGTTTTGAAAATTAAAAACTAGTACAAATGATGGTGTTTTTTTTTCTTTCTATCAATATAGTAGGATTTAAAATATCACCGATGTTCATAATCATACATATTCTTATTTTTCTTATTTGTATGATAGCCTTTGAATCAAATTATAAGAGGATAACATGAGTTTCATTTTATCAATATTAATTAGTTAAAATGCATCGGTTGTTATAGTTACTAGGTAGTAGAAGTAATTCCGTAGTTGACGAAACAAATTGTAGATGGAAAGAAATAAAAAATCCCACATAGAGAATTTTTTTAGTATAATAAAAAAATAGCAGTCGAAGGTCAATGTGTCAATAGTCAAATAACCTAAAAAAAAAAAAATTCTTTCTTTCGATTGCAATAAAATAGAACTTGAACTTGATCACAATTAAAAAAAAAAAAATCAATATCAAACTCATTAAAAACTATAAAATGAGTTTGTTATTAGATAATTACTAAAAAAACCCTCTAAAAAATCTAGTAATTTATTTTTTAATCTCTTAAACCTAAAAAAGCAATATCTTACTAAAACAACGAGTAGTTAATTAGTATTAAGTTGAAGGCTAATTATCGGTGTTTTGGTAAAAAAAAAAAATTATATGTGGTTTTAGAGATTTAAAAATAAATTGATGTGCTTTTAAGATACAAGATTTTTTTTGAGGGTTTTTCTGATAATTATCCCAACTAAATAAAAAATATTTAAAATAATTATTTTTTAAATTAGAGGGTTTAATTTATAATTTAGGAATAATTAACAAAAAAATTTCTAAAAAAGTCTTCTATCTAAAAATCCTGCTAATTTATTTTTAAATCTCTTAAATCCAAAATAATAATTTTCTTATAAAAATACCCGATAGTTAACCTCCTGTTTAACACTCGGTTATAACTATTGAGTGTTTTTGTAACATAAATATTGCTTTAGGTTTGAAAGATTTAAAAATAAATTAGGAGGTTTTTAGATGAAAGATATTTTGGTAATTATTTCTAACTTAAATGAAAACCATTGTTTTATAAGATATTTATTTTACCGTGGATACTCATATTCTATTTAATTAATGCATTAAGATATGTTATACATTCATTGTGTAGATTAAATTTACTTGTTCGATAAAAGTGTTAACTTTCGATTAAATAAAGACTGGTACTTTTTATGGTGGTGTTTTTTTTATATATCAATATATTAGTAATTAGAAGATCACTAATGTTCATAATCATATATATTCTTAATTTTCTTACCCGTATGATACCTCATTGATTAAATTACAAATGGATAACATGAGTTTTATTTTATTAGTATTAATTAATTGAAATAAGCTGCTATAGCTACCACGTAATACAACTAATTCTTTAGTTGATATAACAAATAGTGGAGAAAAACTCCTATAACTGTTTTTTTTAGTTTACTAAGTAAGAAAATAATAATTGATGATGAATGTGTCAGCAATTAATTTTTCTTCTTCTTCTTTCAATTGCAATAAAAAAATTGTGAACTTGAACATGATAAAAAAACAGATTAGTATCACACTTATTAAAAAGTTTGAAATAAGATTATTATTAGATAATTATTAAAAAAACTCTAAAAAAATCCATTAATTTATTTTTAAATTCCTCAAACCCCAAAGAATATATGTATTTTTTTTTTTTACCAAAATGCTCAATAATTAACTGGTATTAAGTTGGCGATTAGTTATTTAGTGATAAGAAAAATATTGTTTGGAGTTTGAAAGATTTTAAAAAATTAATGGATTTTTTAGATAAAAATTTTTATTGAGGGTTTTTCTAGTAATTCTGTCTGTGATTTACTCCAAAAATACCGCAAAAACTTGATAGCCAAAGAAGTTTCACAGCACGCGTGTAAAATACTAAAATCCCATATCAACCCTGTATGAGTCACATGCTACACTAATTTCTCTTCTGAGAGACAACTCCCAGCGAAACAGGAAAAGCAAAAACCCCCGAAAAAGCCTAACTAACTAACTAAGCAATGGAATCGTCAGAGAACAACGCCAATCACGACACTTCATGGACCGCCGCAACTAACTGGACCATCGCCGGTGGCTCTCTCGTCAACTCGCTCACTTTCGAGTCCTCTCTTTCCCTAATCAGCGACGACAACGACAACCACAACCACGACGATAATAATGATCACGATCAATTCTCCACCGTCGATTCTAAATCTAAATCTCCTCTTATCCTCTACGCTCCTACACCTGATTCCGCGCCCTGCGAGATCACTAGTAAGCTTTTCACACTTATTTTATTAATTTTTGTCTTTTGCGGATTGTTATTCTTGCTTTTTGTACTGAAAAAAAATTATATATGGAAAATGAATCTAGGTTGCCTTTTGTGAATTCTGAGAAAATAAAGGAAATGGAAGAAATTCAAGTTTAGTTTTATTGTAGAGCGGTTCATGTTTAAATTATTTTTCTGCTAGATTTTTTGTGAATCGATTTATTTTTTAGAATATTTTACTGTATTTGCTGTTTCGACGCAAAGATAACGCGGTGAAAATAAAAGAGGAAATGGGAATCTCGGTTTTTCTTTTTTTTTTAATGAATTCACGATTTAGATTTTTTTCTTTTAATATATCATTAGGTTTAGAAAAACAAGAAAACTTCAATGCGGAGAAGTACATACTAATTACTTGTGTTTTACTCTTTTACTAGTTTACTTAAGTTTTCATAGAAATAGATAATTGCGAATTATTTTTTTCTTTTAATTTTATTTTCAAAGTTTTTTAGCAAACAGAAGAGGAATTGGTGGATTAATTATTGATGAATTCTTTGAATATCTATATGAAATTTAACAACCAGTTTGTAAATGTCTTATTTTTGTGGTTAGGGTACACTAAGTACGAATTTAGAGTTTGAGAGTAAATATTTGTCTTTCAATTTGAAATTTCTAAAAAACCAAAGCATATTTTATACAAAGGTAGAAATCAACGTTGCATTATTCAATAATTTGCAAGGTCATGGGTCCTATAATGCACATTTTTCTTGAAAGCGTCTTAAAACCTTTTTTTTTTTTTTGGGGGGATTTATGAAGTCTACCCTTTGTGAGTAAGTGGCCATTTGAACTTATTGGCAAATATAGAGAGTACTCTTGGGTTTCATTGCTCTTATGGAAGAATTTAGTTGATGGCATATATTAGTTAATGTGCATTTTTATTGCCATGTGATGTATTATTTCTATCCACAGTGGTTCATTTGATCGTAAATTCTCAAATGTTTATAAATCCTAAGCATTTGTTTTTTGGTTTTACAATATCTGGGTGTTATGGATTAGCTAGATGGCTGATTAATGATTATGGCCATTAATAATTGTTGTTAAAAATTAAAGAAGAGTTCCAAAATTTTACTAAGATTTTTATGCAGAAATGTTTCTTATCACTAATCATTGTAACCCCTACTGTCACAGAGAATGTTATCATATGTAATTTGCTTATTTGATTCAACTTGATGCTAAGCGAGAATTTTTTTTATTCCTTTTGCTCTCTTTTGGTAATTGATCTTTATTTTCTTGAGCTGCAGTTAATTTTGCTCAATCACATGAGGTGAGGCAGATTTATGTTCGGAGTACTGCTCGAGTTTATGAAATATACTGTGCCCCTGAGACGCAGAGCAGCAGCGAGTATCTGTGTACTGTTCGCTGTGGCATTGCTACTAGAGATGAAGAAGTGCTGTGTGCTACCAATATTGAAGAAGCTGTTTTGGCACATGCAAAGAGTTCTGTTCAAGAACCAGCAGAAGAGAAATTCAGAAATGGTAGTAGCCTGTCCCCCAATGAAGATGACTGGGTTGAAGTGAAAGCGCTTGATAGTCCCCTGGTCGTCAACAGAAACAGTTCTTCATCATCAAATTCTAACATAAACTCAGAGAGAAATTTACAGGTATTGAGATTTGCTCTTTTTTAGGCTTATCAAAGCTAAGCCTATCTGCTCTCTTGTTGCCATGTTGGGATATTTGTCAGTTCGTTCTTTCCTTTTCCCCTTTAATAGTGCTTCTGACTTGGTTAAATCTCATCCCTTCCCCACTGCCTCCCTAAAGAACTCATTCAAGGTGTGAGAGCATTTTTCTGTACCTCTGTCTCTGCTATTGATGGGACCTTTAAGCACTAACTCTAAAGGAACTGATATATACTAATTTTAGATTTTAATGTATACTGAATTATTAAGAAAATGAAAACGAGGAAAAAAGGGAAAGTGGATATGATTAAAGTACCCGTTGAAAGCATTGATTTTCATGTTTTCAATGACCAGGTCTCCTTTGGGGGTATGTCATTAGAGGGATGTTGATCTATCGTACTTTTCCAGAACTAGATGTGGATACTATCTCTGGAATTCTGGAATTGAGTTTCGTGATATTCCTTGTAATGGGTCAAGAAAGGACTTGCCTGCCCTTTCTTTGCATGTCTGTATTTTTTCTTCGTTTCTTTTGTATTTTGATTTTCCCACTGGTTGTTTTTGTCTTGCTGCACAATATCACTTCCCTCGAGACACTTTTCTTTCGTCTTTATAGGCATTGTTGGTTCCTGAACTATACAACTCTAATTCTGAGGGAGGGTAGAAATAAGAGAAGCTAAACAATAGATTACTCAGAGCTACCAATTTGATGGTGATGATCCAATAGCTTATTGTTAACGGTTGATGGAAGATTGATAAAGCTGCATTTGTTTCATTAGAAGAATCTTTCAGATTAATGTGAATTTCTAAGGTTAGAATGTCTTCTCAGAAAATAACTTGGGAATTAGGATGTTGTTTGAATAAAGTCAGACTAAAGCATGAAAGCACAGAAGCACATTTGGCTCTTTACTGCTTTATCTTAACTAATTGTCAATGGCTGATGGATAGAACTTTCAGGATTTGTATGAGGCTACAGCAGAGATCACTGATGCAAACCCTTCCATGTCCCTTACACTCAGGCTGCTTTCGCTTCAGAATAAAGGTTATGTTTGTGTTGATGAAGTGTATGTATTTGGCGATCTTGTTGACATAAGTAATTTGGATAAACAAATGGGGCCAAAGGAAAACTCTGCTGGAAATTCACTTATGGCCATGCTTGTACCTGGCTTTTTTCAGTTGTCTAAAACAAAGGGTATTGGCGGAGGAGAAGATAGATACAATATTGATACAAAAGAAAGGCAGAAGTTGCAGGAAATTGGGTCAAAAGCAGCTGCTCCAGTTGATGTTGAGAAGAAAATTCAGGAAGAAGTGAGGTTGCAAGAAGCAGTTGGGCCTTCTTCCAAATCGGTCCAGCATGAGATCCCCCAACAAGTTTCAATTACAGAGAGCAAGCCTGATATTTCACGCAATCATTTTGAAGGTGTCCTGGATCATCTTGTTTCTCGAGTTAACAGAATAGAGGATCTCTTTTTGAGGTTTGAGGAAAGTATGCTGAAGCCCATCAACAGTATTGATGTGAGGCTCCAGCGAATCGAGCAGCAACTTGATGTGCTCACTAAGAAAACCGAGAACTCTGCATTGGTTCCTTGCACAAGAATTTCTGCTCCTGATTTTTCATGCAGTGAATCAGAGACCAACTCCTTCTATAACAATGGAAGTAGAGATATCAGTTATATGGCAAGTGAAGCATATAAGAGCCGTTCACCTTCACCTCTGACGTCTATTCTTCCTGATGCCACCCCTGTTTCAGTAAATGACGCAAAGTTACAACCTGGTTTGGTAGTCACTGCTCCTGAGTTCTCAAATTATGACGATGAGGCAGAAGATCATGCTGTGGAATCTGTTAAGGAATCTCCAAAGGATAAACAAAAGCATTCTATGTCAATTGATGATGCTTTAGCATATGCACTTGCTGGATTCTTATCTTCGACTTCAATGCAGACCCAGAAATATTCTCAAACTCTTGCAATTAAGGCTCCAGATTTTCCAAGTGAAGAAGAAAACAGCAACGAGAAAGCAGCTGCACCAATAGTTGAATCTGAACTAAATACGGACCCTTCCATTTGTTTCAGTGAATCTGATGGAACAGAGCACATTGGAAATTCACTTTCATCTTTAGAGGATGCTGAGAATGTGATGAGATCTCTTAATGATAACAACTCTTCGAAAATGGTTGAAGCAGTTGATGAACAATGCCAACATAGTGAGGGGGAAGAAGGTGAGTCACAGGACATTTGTGTTGGCCATGCAGTTGCACCAGTCATGCATGATGTGACAGGTGCTGATTCCTATGAGATGACAGATGACATAAAGGAAGGAGAAGTTGGCGATGGAATAATCAATATATTTGATCTTCAGAAAACTGAGTCTCTGAAACAGTTTTCTGGAGATCAGACTGATGATGGCTCTGTCACTACTCAGGAAGTGGCTGTTTCAAATGAATTATTCGCTTATAAAGAAGGCATAGAAGAAGAGTCTAAACAAGACATTCTGCAGAACATTGTTGAACTGTCGCGTGCTTCTTCCATAGTAGATTTCGAATCTCCAATCCTGGAAGTGAAATTTGTTTCTCAAGAACACTCGGGTATCAAGTCTCCCCTTGAAGCCCTTTTGGCTGGCATGCCAGATCTGGAAGTTGAAGTTCGTTCAGCTATGGAAAACAATAATAATGGTTCTGAAAATGGCGATCAGTACAACTTAATTTCAGTTGAGGATTCTGGAACTGATGCCCACATCTCAGTGGATATGGATTATTGCAGTCTAAATGAGCCGCCTTCTTCGAATATGGAAGCTGATGAACTACATGACTGTTATCCAAGCAGCAGCCCGGAAATGCCAGCTGCAAGTCTGATATGAGAAGAGCTGCTGTTGATATTTAGATGCTAAGCTGTATATAAATTTGATTTAGATAATTAGTATTCCCTTAACTAGTGGTCTGCCAGCTGTTATTTTCTTCGACTTCTCTCCCCTGACATGTGCCTTTGTCTACGTGTTAATCAATGGCCACGTGAGATGGATGCCTTTTTGTCGCAAGAAAGTTTGAAAATGCTAATAGCATCTCGAGAAATTCCAAAGTGAGTATTTTTCTGCAATATACGTGGTGACCTTTAAAATTGGTTATTGATTAAATTTGACCGTTCAAAGCTAACGGAAATTGGCAAAGAAATTGACTGAAGGGATTAACTTTGTCCCAAATTGAAAAGTTGGGATCCAATTACTATTTACGAAATCACAAATGTAGCCAGATAGAAACTGAAATCTCGATAGCCTTTGTATTTACTTTGCTTGAGTTGTAAGCAAAACTGATGTGGAGAGTCCCTCTTTTCTCAGTTCTTCTCTCTTTCAAAAACTCTTCAGTTCAGACCCCTCTTTATTTCTAAAATAAAATAAATCTAAACCTTCCTTTTCTCCATTAATTTTTTTTAATTACTTTCTTATTTTGTGCTAGTGTCATAATATAATTAGTTAAAAGTTTTAAAAGTCTCTAACTTTTGTAATATCTTATTGATATTTGTCAAATTTGTTCAATTACCTTTTAAAATGTTAAATACTTTGGCTGAGATAAACGGAATCGAGAAGGCTTTCTAGTGTTCATAATGAACAATAACCTTTCTTAAAGACACAGCGTTGTTTTTGCACTGGGAGTGGCCTAAAATGATGTCATTTTGGTTCAGTTTTCACTTTGGTTCTCTTATTTTCGATCTTCCTATTAAAATGACCAATTTACAAAAAGTTTGGTAGAGAGAAAAGATGATGGTTGGAAAAATGGAGGAGAGAGAAAGTGATCGGAACATCGGTTTTCGATCGAAAACCGAGCAGTCGTAACCTCCATTTGATAAAAATAAGCTTTTTAAGTTGATTGAAGCTATTTATGAGCTATAAAATGGCCGAAAAAAGTATATATGAGCTCTGGTGTAGGAATTGATTTTGAAAAATGATTTGATGCTTTGTTGTTAAAAAAGAAGATCATTAAAATGGATTTCAAGATTAGATATAGGCTTATGGAAGTATTGGGATGACACTAAGGATTTTTTTATCAAAAAATAGATAAAACAACGGAGTCTTTTTTGGAAGAAAAATCGAAGAATCGCAACTTTCCGATCATCGAAAAGTTGCTGAAGAAGAACATGCAAATGACGTCATTTTGTATGTTATACAATGTTACTATTATATATATTTAAATGAGGCCAGGCTTGGCACCTTGACTCAGGCGCGAGCCCCGGTCTAACATGCAAGCCAAGTCCGCCTCCTCGCCCTATTTTTTTATAATTATTATTCTTTTATCATTCTTTTAGCTTTTTTTTTTTTCCGTCAAAGTCTTTATTTTCTTTCAAATCACAAAAAAAGGTATTATTTTTTAATTATTAATCGACTTAGGTTAAAACATTTGTTAAAAAAATATTAACATAGTTTTTAAAAATTAAAAAAACTACAACCAATCACATTTCAAGTTTTATTCGGTTTCATAAATTTTAGATATATAAAAATATAAAATTTGCTTGGTAATTTTAATTGATTTATTTTTTTATACAAGGTAATGTAATGAGTATCGTGCGAATGTATTTTTACTCAACAAAAATTACCAAAATAAAAAAAATTAAATAAACAATATTGAACTGTTTGTAATATATATGTTTTTGCTTTGTAAAAAAAATCTAATAGATTTAAATTATTTAATGTTGAATTTATTCTGTGTCTATTGAATACTTATAATTAAGTGAATAAAAAATGTCATTGCTTTTAGTAATGAAAGGACAAAACAAAAGCATCTAAATACAATAATTCTTTTTGTTTTCAGTTATTCATTAAATCTATCAAATGGATGATTAATCTTTCATGTTCATATATTTGTAGTTGTTGCTTTTTTTCTTATTTTTTTCGTAATAAATTATTTGAATCACGGAAAAAGTACTACAAGAGTTTTAATTTATGCACCAATTAAATCGTCTTGCCAACTTAAGAGTAAATGTAAAAACATTAAAATTTTGCTTTCTAATTACAAATTATTTAATAGATAAGGACGAATAGTTCAAACTTGCAAAAACCTTTGTTTCAATAAATTTCATGTTTTTATATATTACATCAGCATAAATAAATTAAATTACAAATCAATTTTACAATATTTATTTTCAACGAACACGATATCACATGCAAATGATGCCCTCGCAGCGAACCAGGCATGTTTGCTAGTGAAAGCTAAACTGAAACCTCAGGGGTATTTAGCAAATATTGTGGCTTATGAGGGGGGAAATTGACATAACACCAATCCTGGGAAGATTTTGAAATTTATCCAAGCCCTTTAAAAAATAATAATAAATAAATAAACAAAAAAGAAAACCAAGGACTAGTTGTCTAGTACTAGGATCGGCTAGTCGGCTTCTAGCATTAGCAAACAGAGTTTTCAAATTGGGCTACCCGCTAATAGAGAGAGAAGAAGCTAAACAGTAAGCTCTCACCTCCAGTAACGGTAACAGCTCGAGAGGCGCTTACTAATGGAGGCGGCGGTGATAGACGCTGGAACTCAGCTCCTTAAAGCCGGCACCGCAGTTCCAGATCAAGCTCCTCCCATGGTAACAATAATCATCACTCTACTCAGGGCTCCCTAACAAAATTACGACCATCAACAATTTGTTTACTAATTTTTACTTTCACTTCTTTTTAACTATAATTTTGCAATTTTCATTTCTATTAGGGTTTTCATTTCCGTTAGGTTTGTTTGTTTGTTTGTTTTTTTGTTTAATTTGTGACCTTTAGGTAAAAGTCATTATTCAAATTATTTTACTGTTTGAGTAGATAATTCCGAGCCAAATGAAACGAATGGTGGAAGATGGAACATCAGGTGATAATAATGAATCAGTATTTGAGGATGTAACAGTCGAACCGATTGTTCGAGGCTATATAAGAGATTGGGATGCAATGGAAGATTTATTGCATTATGTTTTATACACTGGTCTTGATTGGGAAGAGGGAAATGAAGGCCAAGTCTTATTTACGGATCCGCTTTGCACTCCCAAGGTTATTTAACGCATTCCTTTGACATTCATGGTTGCATTTCTTTGTTTGTTAGCTTGAATTTAGTGAAGAGAATGTTAGGAAACCTAACTGAAGTTCTATATTACAGGCTGTTAGAGAACAATTGGTGCAATTGATGTTTGAGACATTTAATGTTTCGGGGTTTTATGCATCGGAGCAGGCAGTGTTGTCTCTTTATGCAGTAGGGCGAATCTCTGGATGCACTGTTGATATTGGTCATGGGAAGATTGGTATGCAAAACCTATCTCTTTAAGCTAACGATATTTTTCATTGGATATCTCCGCTTTCAATCATTGCATGCAATTGATGTGTATAAGTTTCATTTTTTTGTTATGCATGAAGAATGTTTCTGTTACTGAACTAGTCCCTCATCATGATACTGCGGAGTTTGTAGTCCTCTAGTACTTAACTGGTCCCTCATCCTGAGGTGGAGATTTTGGTAAAGCTTAATTTTCTTGGTGGTTTGCACTTGATAATCACTTATTTTCTTTCTGTATTTTCCATTTCAAATCAGCATTTGAACATGAGTTTGTTGTCCTCTAGTTAGCTTAAGATATAAGAAATGCCTGGATGGAAAGTGAGTACCTATGATTGGTTTAGTTTTCTGGCTGAGGTGTGATCTCTCTCTCTCTCTCTCTCTCTGTGTTCTTTTTTCCCCATATTGCCAGATATTGCACCAGTAATTGAAGGTGCTGTTCAACACATTGCTTCAAGGAGGTTTGAAATTGGTGGAGTTGATTTGACAAAGTTACTTGCCCAAGAACTGGGTAAATCTAATCCTCGGGTGAATCTCAATGCCTCTGATTTTGAGATGTTAAAAGTAAAGTACTCATGCTGTGCTGAAGATGAGCTTGCTTACGAGAAGACCCAAAGGTCAAGTGATGTAGAGGAGCATACCCTTCCTGACGGACAGGTTTGTTTTTGTGCGTTGTTTTAAATAGTAGCCCTTAGCCCAATCAGGTTCAACCAGGGTGAATTTGAGTTCAAGCTATGATGTCAGAATTGTGCAATAAATATGCAATCTAATTATGATATTAAGCTACTTCTGTGATAAAGTTTTCTTTTAAGTTTACTGCCATAGTTGGTTATGTAGTATGTGGAACAGTTAAGCTAACACAGAATATAATGACTCATTGGTTCTGTGGCTTACTTTCACCCTCTTTGTCCACGTTCAAGCTTTTATTTCTCTGCCTGTACATAGATTTCCTAATTCGAACCTCACCCAAATGGCCAGGCTGATATATCATTTCCTTCCCTGTTCACCAGTTGACCTGCAGTTAGTTTGAATCAACTGGTGCTTTTACTTCTCTTTTAATGGGAAAATTGGACATGGTCCCAATCTCATATGGTTTCATGGTCTCTTGATCCATCTGGCTGGTACTGTCGGGAGCAGTCTTCAAAACATTGCTTTCTGGTGCTAATATTGAATAATCTTTGTGCTTTGATGAATGCAAATTATGTTTCAAGTCATTACTTTGATTATATAAATCTCTTGGACTTATTTTGGGTGAATATGAGCTTGGAATGTGTCTGACAAGTGACTGCTAGGGGAGGTTCTCCTTTTGTACCAAAAAATAAATTTCTAGCCTAGAATTGCTTGTGTTAATCCAGAATGAGAATATTCCTGATTGATTCCTGATATGAAAGATGGGAATTCAATACAGCTCTGAATGTTTGTCAGGTGATTAGAATTGGAAGAGAAAAATATACTATTGGTGAAGCTTTATTTCAGCCATCTATACTTGGTATAGAGGCACATGGAATAGTTGAGCAGCTTGTACGTAGTATTTCAACTGTTTCTTCGGAGAACCACCGCCAGCTGCTGGAAAATACTGTACTTTGTGGTGGCATAACTTCTATGCCTGGTGAGCTTTTTATTTTTTGTTTAATTGAAATCTATATACAATAGTTTAAACATGACATCTTTTTATTGTTGCATTCCCTTCTTGATCAGAAGGAATTTGTTGCTTGGAATGGATGATAGATTGTTATGCTGATGCTTGCTGCAGGTTTTGAAGATAGGTTTCAGAAAGAAGCAAGTCTGTGCTCATCAGCTATTCGTCCTTCACTTGTAAAGGTAAATGATCTGATAGACTTTTGTTTTTTTTTTCCCAGAATTTTTGAGTTTCATGTTTATTGTGTGCATGCTTTACCATAATTATCTTTATGATGGCCCTGTGATGTGAGGATGCTGAGTGGTGGTGGGTTTGACAATAGCAAGTGCAGTGATGGGAGCACTTTGCTTCTTTCCTGCTTGCTGGTGCATAGCAATCCTCAGATGTTTATGTGAAGAAGCTGCGTCCCATTGTAGATCTCCTTTGTGAAATTTTTATAAGCAATAAATATTTTAGAAAAGTGCCTGGATATCAATTTTTTTTAGAAGTATACTTGTTTGAATATTAGAGGTTTTATAGAGGGGTTCTTTTGATTGAAAATATCATAGATCATAAATGAAATCGCTCTTTCTACAATGTTCAGAGATATTTAATGCTTTTGTTATCTATAGGTCAATACCCTCCATACTTTTTTTTACCAATATTCTACTTAGGGAATAAATTAAACGAGATTAAATTACAAGTTTAAAGTTCGTTAAACAGTAAACTATATTCTCTCTTATGTATTGTTTCAAGATATTTGCTTGATAAGTTTGTCCTCATAGGACATTTCAACAGTTATATAATTTCAAACACCAGTTTATGAGTGACAGTTGACAGTTTTCTCCTTCTGGAATTAGTGGATATGGTTTTGCTTTTCATTCCATTTTTTTGGTATAGTCTTTTATATGTCACATTCCAAAATTCGTATTTCTGTTCATTACAGCCTCCAGAATACATGCCCGATAAGTTGACAGAGTACTCTGCATGGGTGGGAGGTGCCATACTTGCCAAGGTTGTGTTCCCTCAGAATCAGCATGTCACCAAGGGAGATTACGATGAAACTGGACCGTCCATTGTCCATCGGAAGTGCTTCTGACCCTTTTAATATTAGTGAGTTGTTAAATGTTTTTCTATTCCTGCTTGTATTATAGTAGATGGTTAGGGTGGCACAAAACAATAGACTTGTAGGATTGTCAACTTGGAAGAAATGCCAACTAATGTTGTCTCTGTAAGTGTAGTTTGTTTTTCTTCATTTTGAACATATCATGGATCATATGATTCAACAGATTCCGTTTAACCTTAAGACAATTCTTGTTTACAGTGTTGTCTTTACAGAAGTATGGTAGTTGTTATTTGTCAGCGAGTAGGAAATCATTTACACAGGCATCTCGATTCTCACCACAGTTCCACTGCATGTATTGGTAACATATCGTGCTCCAGCTATTCTTCAACGTCTGGGTGCTCAAATTATAGGATTTTAATTTTCTTTACTTATCTTTTCATAGCCTTTTATAATACCGAGGTCCTAGGTTTATTAATACGATGGTAGGTTTATTAATACTTTCACCGACAGATCATTTTAGTTGGACATTGGCATGTGGACGACCACACAGAAAAAAAGTCAAAGGACCTTGTCTTTTTAGCCTGGACGAGTAAAGCATGTAGGTTGCCTTTCTGGGTTATAAATAGTCCCAGATCTATTGTTCTGAAACCTACGATATTTCCTATTCCTATTCAGTACGTAACCTAACCTGAGGTCTTTTATAAAGTTTAAAGGAAGGCGCCGTGCTCATGCTAATAAATTGGTGAGTTTATAAACTTGCTGTCTTTAGTAACTTCACTTGAAATTCTATAAAGAAATAAATGTTATTCTTATATGTGAAATTAATGGTAGAAAGTAGAATCACTGAGGACTAGGTTGTTCTGAATGGTCTGGTCTAAAATCTAAATTCCTTCGACCAAACACTGTCCTCTGAACGATTCCTTCCTCTTATTTCATTTTTTCAATGATGCATTGATTTGTTGATGCAATTATACATGTTTGCTGTTATGGAAGCGATTGAACTTGGTGATGAGATGGGACAGTTGATCCTAGTCTAACTCCCTACTCATAGGCATGTGTAAGTGCACCCTTAACACCGGACTTGCCGGAACTGCATGACATAAAAAAGACCTCCACTAAATCTCCTAATATTCTTGGTGTTTAATGGTTTGTATTTTTTCGGTGCTTATCCATGGATAGTTACCATAAGTGTGTGTGTGTGTGTGTTTTTTTTTTTCAGATGCAACTACGGATGTTAGTCCAGTGAGTGTTTGTACAAGTTGTAGTATGTATGGTAGGATAAATAGCTACATCTGTTAAAATATATATAAATATATATATATATATATATATATTACATTTTGATTATATTTATTATGCCTTTGAATAATATTTTATTTGTTAATTTGTTTTTTCCATCAATTTTTTTATTATAAACAATTTTTTATTGAAATATTCCTATCTCTAAAAAAAAAAAAATCGAAAGACCTAGATAATAGAATATGCAAATCATGTGGTTTTATTTTTATTATTTTTTCAATTAGGGTATTTCGATTAAAAAAAAATTATCAATAAAATAAATTGATAAAAAAAACAAATTAAATACTAAAAAAATATTAAAAAATATAATCGATGTAATTAAAAATATGAAAATAAATTAGAGATTTATGCCATTAGTCTATTATATAAAAACAGATTAATTTATTTACCTATATAATTTATAGCTTTTTGAATGGCTTTATGTTTAAAATTTTAAAAGCAGAGGCAAGGACTTCTAATGAAAGCAGGGCTGAACTGGATCTTTAAAATAGATGCTTCAAATATCCCATCACTAATTAACTTTTTGCCTGCATTCTTCAAACTTCCAAAACCATTTATAAAGGTATTTTATCATTTCATTTTGGAAAATGCATTTCAATAACGATGTCCTTGGATTTCTCTATAAAAGTTGAGAAAGTACCATGTAATCAATAAATAAGAAAAATAAAATTGTAGGAACCAAGTCATGGTTATCATCCCTTTGGTCACTTGTGTTGCCCATCATTCTAGCTTCACGTGTGGGTATGTTGCTTGTTTCTTCGTAACGAAACTGCACTACAGAAAAACCCGACTCCTATTTCTAATTAGTGATTATCAAACAGGAGTTGAAAGGTACTAAACAACAAAACTGTCAATTATGCATTGAGACCCAATTCATTGAGACCTGGTAGCAATCCAGCCAAAATCCGAAGGCTTCAATCCGGACATCAGAATCTGAAAAACAATTTGGGCCCAAAAGCAAGTGGACAAAGTCTCTTGCCTCTTGGTATCCCAACCCCTGTGAAACGTTACCCCACAGAGAACAACAATCTATCATTCTATCCCTTTCGGTCTCTCTACCATCCTCCCCCACCACACCTTGTGATCCCAAGTCACAAAACTGTATGCTTTTTTTGACATGGTCAATGGGCAAATAACAGAAAGTACTTGAGAATCTCTTATTATTCAATTGGTTTAGAGAGAAGTAGAACATACATGTCATTATGGATATACAAATGGGTCATTAAGATTTGGGATCTTTAGACTTCCCCACTAGAGACTAGGGAGAGATTTGTTATCTTGTTGTCCTTTTCTTTTTTGATTAAAATGGAACTGCACCAACACATAAGACCTTAGATCCTAGAGGTTCCCACTTGCAGTAGGGTCTGATAATTGGTCCACTTCCCAACTTTGTCTGGGTGCTACCGTGTCATGGACAGGTGCGTACTCCTGCAACATAGCAATCAAAACAATAACAAATCATTCCCTGCTTCTATCTGAAACTTTGCCCTGTCATCCTCTCCAAATAATTCAGCAACCAACCCCAATACATGTATTATACTAACAGAACACACTCAAAGACAAACCTATATTTAATATATACATATAGACAATTATGATCTTTGAGCATAAAAGAAATTGGACCGCTTTTTCTTTTATACCTCCATTTTCTTAATAAGTTCAACCGCAGTTTCAGCTATAACAACTATGTGCCTTGCTGTATCTGTTATGAAACCTTCTTCAACTCCCTTATCAAACAAGGCAAGCAAGCTGTTATAATATCCATCTACATTTAACAGTCCCACCTGGTAGAGAAATGAAAATGAAAGAAGAAACACGCCAATCCAAAAGTATATTCTAAATTGTAAAAATATTAATGAAAGATATATAAATAGAATCTGCAAATTAAGACCGTTTGATCTTACTGGTTTTTCATGAATTCCAAGCTGAGACCAGGTAATTATCTCTAACAGCTCTTCCATGGTTCCATAGCCACCTAATGAAAAGGATTACACAAAAACTTGATTCAACATGTGTTTTTGTTGTATTATTTTATGCATGAGTAGTTAACTGCCTTTGAATGAGAACACATGTACCAGGAAGGGCAATGAAGGCATCAGCATGTTTTGCCATTTCTGCCTTTCTTTGGTGCATGTCTGCAACAGTTTTCACTTCTCCGACGGTTTCTCCTGATATCTGGCAAGGAGAGCTTTAATTACATTCCTCCAATAAGATGCAAGAAGATGGTAGATGATACAAAAGCATGCAATAATAGGGATGGAGTAGTATACCTCATGAGACATTAGAGCCTTAGGAATAACTCTATACAAACAAAACAAAGACATGAACAAGTTCGTCAAGTTTTCTGATAACAGCCAAAAGAAAAGCAAATATTAAACGTAAGGAAATCAAAGGTAGTAGTAGATGGAGTACCCGAGAACATGGCAACCTCCATTAAACACAGTTTGTGAGATCAAACCCATAAGACCTACACTTCCCCCACCATAGACTAAATCCATCTTTCTCTTTACCTAAACAATTAAATAGTGCAAATAAAAACATCTGGTTAGCAACACACAAAATCTTCTGACACGTAGAATCTGTGTATTCAGAATGGAAAGATTAAGCAAATGGAGTCCCCATATGCAATTCTTTGATTTGTTATGGCTTGATGACTGTATGTATAGATATATATATTACCAGCTGTTTGCCAAGCTCAAGAGCAGCATCACTAAATGAAGACTTGTATCCAGCTTTACTACCACAAAACACACAAATCCTTTTGAACCTTCCTTTCTTTTCACTTCTTGCAGATGTCCTTTCTTCTCCTTCCATTCTCCAAAGAAGAAGATAATATTAAGAGAAAGTGATATAGGAAGAGAGAGAGAGAGAGTGTGTGTCTAGAAGAGACTGATAGTGTGTGTGTGTTTTAGGGAAGTAGAAGGGAAACACTTTGCTTTTGAATCTCCACGACTTTATCCTCATCAATTGGAACCCAATCTCTACTTTTTTCTACTTAAGCAAGTACTTGGTGCTAGAGAAGTGCCCAACTAGAGCCCATCTCCATCTCTCCTTTTATCTTCCCCATCTCTTGCAATTAATTTCTTGTCCACCATTAAACTATTCAAGAATCTTTCTTGAACATCTCTTTCAGCCTTTTGTGTCCATCTGATTAAAACTTTGCTTTTATCATTTTGCTGTCCTCATATATGTCTCTCCCCCAACTTACAATTATGCTTTGTAAAAAAAAAGGTTCGTATTACATATGAATTATTCTTTGACATTTACTTTTTAACTTCGTTTGGGCTCAGTCATAAGCCACACTATCCATTGCTCAAAGGCCACTTTGATTTTCATCACTGTGCGGCACTTTTTTTTTCTCGATAAATTCGATTCACTTTTTTTTCCCTTTTCAATTTAATAGGATTTTGAAATTAATCAAAGAAACCTAGTTCATTGTCATATCATTGAACTGCGGAATTGCCATTTGTTCCTTTTTTTCTTTGGAATAACTAATTAATTCTTACGCTGATAAAATTACAAGAGAGATTTACGGAAGTTTACTCCGCACCCGCAGTCACACCAGAAAAATTATCTTGCAACCAAAATTTCTTTGCAGAGATCCCTTCATGGTAATTCCCTAATATTTTTTTCCTTTTATATTTATATTTTTTTGTTTTATACCGGTATTTTAACCTCAAATTGAAGATAGAAATAATTTTATTCAGAGCTAATGTGATAAAATTTAACCAATTCTAACAAATGTAACTTCATCATTTCGAATCCTTCACGTTTATAAGAAATTCACTTGAAAATCAGTTTGTTTATTATTAGACAAATAATTTATTCGTCTTTTATATATATTTTTTTATTAGCTTAAGATTATTTTATTTTTTCATTGAATTTGAAACACATCATTTAAATTTGGGTAAATTTATAAATAAAAAAAATTAAGCTAAAAGGGTCAAACATCTCTTGAATTTTAATTTATTTGAAAATTAGTTCCTGAACTTTCTTAATCTATGTTTTTACTTTGGTGGGTTTTATTTTTACTTTTTGTTAGATTTGATCTCATAATTTTCATTTATCATTATTTTTTTAAAAAAATTCAAATTTTAGTATTTGAATTTGAATATTTTTCACACGCGTTGAGAAAAATCCAATCAATTTATAAAAAAAATCCCAAAATTTTTCAAGACCAAAAATTATATTTTTTTAATATTAAAAAATATATATAATATTAAAAATATATATAAAAATAAAAAATAACCTAAAATGATCCCGAAGTTTTTGAAGAGCTCTACATAATTCTCATTGAACGATTTTTATCTCGAGTCTATTTATATAATTGTTTTTTTTAGAATAAATTATGGAAAACTAAACGGTGGAATAATCTTAAAAATAATAATAAAATTTAGGAAGATAAAACACATATTAAAACTAGGACTGGTTTTTAAATAAATTAAAATTCAGAAAAAATTTGATCCTTTTAACCAAAAAAATTATTCTTGTCATACTTCTTATTTTGATTCCCTAAATAAATAACATGAGAACTATGATGCAACCAAAACTATATATGATGATTGGAGTAGTAAGATCATTTCTAATGGTGCTCTCTACTTTTAGCTAGCATTTTTAATATAAATAGAGAGTATCATTAATTATATAGATTGAAGATCAATGTCATTTTCAATGCTACTCTCTACTTTAACTCTTTATTTTGACAAAATCCATAAAACATTTAATTTTGAAATTTTTCATCCTTTTTTTATTTTAATCTCCTCCGTTCAATTGGTGAAGAAGTTGAGTGGCGTAGAAAATAGTAATTTTCATTAATGAAATATAAGATAAAGAGTCATTTGGACTCGTAATATTGGAGAGCTAAAGATACTTTATATCTCATTTTTAAATATAAAGATTATGATAAAAAAAGTATTTAGAGATAGAATTTGAATAAGACCTCTTTGTTATGAAAAAAAATCTTAATATAAAAAAAGCATTGAAGATGCTCGTACATGACATGTAGAGGTAGAGGAACATAAGAAGGTTTAAGTGCATGCATGTGACACCTGATCGTCCTCTTTCAGTTTTCGCATGCATCTTTATCATCCATTCGGCACAATCATGGGGCCATAGAAGTACTAGTTCTTCACTTTAGTTGGATGGATGGCTCTTCTTGCCAACGTAATATAACTCAAGGAAAATACGAGTCGAGTCATAAAACTATAGGAAAAAAGCTTTTCTTTTTTCTATTAATTTCAAAACACACACTTCGCTTTATTCTTGTATTACTTGTTATGTTCATCCTCCTTCAATTCGTCTTGATGTAGACCAAGGATGTTTATGAAATGAGAGATGGTATTCAACCATTTAAAATTTATATCTTTTTTATTTTGAAAACTTAACAAGAATATGACCATGAATGCAGATTCCATTAATTGGAATTTATTTTCTTTTTATATGAATCAGTTCTTGACAGGTACTCCACGCATGTATTATTTAATTAATAATATATATACACACGCGCACACACATAATTTCTAATAAATTGTTTATAGTTATTTATAAATAAATAAATATCATTGGTTTTCAAATAATTCAATATAATTTTTTTATAAAATTATAATTAAATATATTTTTTTAAGTTTTTGACCATACAGAATAATTTTAACTGAACTTAAGAAAAAATTAGGGACATAAATTGAATTATTTTTCAAAATTTAATAATTATTACTTAGGATAAACATATATATCTCTTAAAAATAATTATTAAAAAATTTTCACCTGCCATTATATTTTTTTGAATTATCTTTCAACGTTTAATAATTATTAGCTAGAATATATACATTAACACATATATCACTTACCATTATATTATTGTGAAACCTTTTTATTTTAAAAAATTCTTTTTAATTATATATGATGTGAATATAAAGTAAATTTTCTATAAATAATTTTTTAATAATCTTGCGTCTTTTCAATATTACCAGTGTTTGTTCAAAAAAGTAAAAGATATAATGTAGGACAGTTAAAAAAACAGCATATAAAAAATCAATCAAGGATTTAGTTTAATAACTTGATGAATTTTGATGTAATTTAATTATTTTTCAGATTTTAATTATTAACTTGTTTTTAACTCTTTTTAGAGGTTGATAGTCAACATAAAGTTTCAGTATACAATATATATATATATATATATATGGGTGATTTAAGTAGTTTAATTGTTTTATATTATTTAGGATTTTATGTGGTGTATAAATAAATAATAATAATGAAAAAAAGGAGATTAAACTATATTTTAGTATTCCTCTTAAAAAATAAACTATTTTATAGAAATTAATAATTTTCTTATATAGATCTTTTTTTAATTAGAGGTAGAGTTAATATTATATTAAGGGTATATAATCAATCAAAATTTTATAACGAGTTAATGCTTTTATATATATTTATGAATATTTCAAATTCTTACATTGCATAAAAAAGAAAGATGCAGGTGAAACCTTTTTATTTTAAACAATTCTTTTTAATTATATATGACGTGAATATAAATTAAAAATTTTATAAATAATTTTTTAATAATCTTGCGTCTTTTCAATATTATCAATGTTTGTTCAAAAAAATAAATGATATAATATTGGACAGTTAAAAAAAAGCAGCATATAAAAAATTAATCAAGGATTTCATTTAATAACTTGATGAATTTTGATGTAATTTAATTATTTTTCAGATTTTAATAATTTATGTCTTTTATTAGCTTGTTTTTAAGTCTTTTTACTGGATCTGTTTGGTAATAAGAAATGAAGTAACATGAATGGAAATCCACACTTCATTTTTTGATGGTGAGATATTTGATAATCAAGAATGATATGAGAATCAGAATAAAAATAAAAAATGAGAATAAACTTTTTTTGTGATTTCATTATTTTTGGAGATGCAGGTTTAAGTGAAAATGACAATGTGTGAATGAAAAAAAAATACTATTTTTTTATCTTAAAAATATCCTTAGCTTTTAATCAATATTACATTCATACCACTATAAATGATCCTCCAACAATACCTAGCCACCAAACTTCCAAACTCATCTCTATAGCAGGTAGTGCTTTCCCCTTCTCTCTCTTTGTTTTTTTCTTCCAATTAACTTCCTTTCTCCTACTTAATCTTGACCATATTCTCTGGTCCTGATTCTTGCCAACGTTAAAGAAATTAAGTGACGGTGAAATGAACAATTAACACCAAATTTAGTTGGCAATTATTATATATAATTGCGTTAATTTCCAACTGGTGGAATTTTTTAGGCTGTCATTCATTCAAACTCAATCTCTTTTCTTTTCTTCTTTTCTGAAACTATATTAGGATGATGTACATAACAAGGATCAGAATAACTGCATCTTGTAACCAATAGTTGAATCACGATCCAATTTCTGGGGACTGACTTTGAGCTTTTCTTTTACAAGAACAGATCAGACAAATACAACAAGCAACGATGTCACTCTGGGTTCTATGTAAAAATCAGTAGGCCAAAGGATTACATTGGATCCCAGAGACAAAGACACAATCTTTGTATTGTCATTCAAACTGTGTGTGTTCCATATAATCAAGGGAATAAGTCAATTTGTCAAAAGCTCTTTTAAACACACAAGTAATTAAAAAAGGAGCAACGGTTTGACTGCACTCTGTAAAGTCCATCCATATTGATTCTTCACCGGCTTCTTGTACGCCAGTTTAATGAGGGTCCAAAGAGACAATGAGGTGTTGAACTGATATGGAATACGAACTTCCCAATCTCTCTATTCTTTTTGTTCCAACTCCATCTGCAAGCACTTAAAATGTTTGCT